TGAGTACAATTAATAGCAAAGTGCTTTTTAGGGAAAACTGCAACAGACAGGTTGGTACGTGCACAAGCAAGAAGGCTTTTGTGGGGCTGCTAAAAATGACAGTTTTCCTTAAGACCGTTGTGCTATGTAAAGGATTCACGTGTTTAGTCTTTGTTAACAGGCAAATTGAGTGTGACCAGTGGTAAAAGGGTTGAATACAATATGCCAATGTAGCATTCAGTTCAAAGACGAAATTATAAATGATCTTTTTATCCCATAAATATTTTCCTTCGGGTCTAATGGTTCAGTTCCTTCCATTATTTTTTTTCACCCGACCTCTTTCTTCAGTGTTTACATGGGCTGCGTGTTTGCAAACAGACGTGCAAACCTTCCCTCAGCGGACTTTGGTTTCTTGTTGCAGAAATTCCCCGAGCTGAAGTTCAAGTATGTGGAGGAAGAGCAGCCTGAGGAGTTCTTCATTCCCTACGTTTGGTCCTTGGTCTACAACTCTGCCGTGGCCCTGTACTGGAACCCGCATGACATCCAGCTCTTCACTATGGACTCCGGCTGAAGGAGATGCCCCAGCCAAGCCAACTCAACTCCATCTTCTTACAGAAAACGAAACTCCGCACCGCGTGTTAATACGTGACCCCTTCCAGCGTGCACCCTCTGACCCCAAAGCTTACGGAGAACGAAGCCTGCCGCCAGCGTACAGTCCAACATCGATGACACGCTGGCAGCAGACTGCGGTGTGAGGAACTGACGGCTTGTAGGCAACCTTGTATTTATAGTCCTATAACCTAGAGCTTGTTTGATGAAAATGAGGCCTTACACATGGGGTACGATGTTACTACCAACCACAAACGTGATTGTTCTTTTAACTTAACGGGGTAAATGAGGAAGGAGATTGTGGACTTTGATTTGGAAGCAACGTTTGTATTTTCGTTTCTTTCAAGCGAGGCAGCTTTGTTGGGTCAAGCTTTCTGTGGTCTGTTGGATTCTGCCGTGGGTTGCTCGTTACCTAATCCCGTGCTTTCACTCGCAGCCCTTTAATTCGGTGGCACTGTCAAGGCTGCAGTTGTGTCTACGCTGTCATCCCAGTGAACTAAGCGAGCAGCGTGTTAATCAGATTAGCTCCCAGGCAGATTCAAAACACTTGATTTAGATGTCAAAATGTTTGTGGGAGGATTTTCAATAGCCAGTCTGTCTTTGTTTGTTTGTTTGTTTGACTGGCAAATATTCTACAGAGGGCTAGAAACACCAGCTTTCAGAGTCAGGTCCCTTACAGACTTGTTTTACTGTGCTTTTGTGCAAAAGTTGTTCCTGGAAGTTGAACGGGATGTGGGGGGAATCTCCAAAGAAAATAGTTATAAGATAAGTAGACCAATGTCCTGTAAAAATGTGTGTAATGGTGACAGTGTGTCGTGGGGATCCTTGGCAAAGTTCTGTGTTGAAAATCCCCTGTTTGCTATTAAAGGTTTTACGGCAGAAGTGTAGATTTATCTGAATGTAGAATACTTCTCCTTTTTTCTTGTTTTAAAGTGTCCTTTCCTGATATACCTGTTTCTGCAGTCGGAAGAACAAAAGAAGTGGCTTGACCTGATTTTGAAAGAACATCTCATTTTTCAAAACGAGGATCATTTCTTCCCTGGGGAGGCTCCTGATGGTGCCCGTTGCACACGCGTGCAAACACCCTAATCCCACACGCTGCTGTGGGGAGGGCCGTCACCGGTGCGTTGCATGGCAAAACATAAATATCAAGGAATTAGTTCCAAAACATGCGTGGCAACCCCTTGTATTCACTGCCTGCTCCAGCATGTTCTGTTTATTGACCTGAAGAGTCGGGTGCATTTGCTTTCAGACAGTCCTTCGAGTGGCTTTAGGTAGAGTTTCTTGCACCCTGTTTTTTTCCCTGAAGGATGCGCTAGGATTGTACTTTCCTTTTATCTGCTTATATTTAGAGGTGGAAGTCCATTTGGATCCTACACAAATGGAAATGTTGGCTTACAAAAAAAAAAAAAAGCTTTCCAAATTTCTTTAAATATAGCTACAAAGCTATATTTATACGTATAGAGTATGTATATACATATAGAGCCCAGGAGCATTCAGGACTTTAAAATGGCAGAAGCTTTTGAGAAAAGGCAATAGTAAGCCTGGAGATACATTTTTTTTTTTTTTTTCTTAGGAAAATATGAGAAATGAATGAACCATGACTGAGCTGCACATAAGTTTATGCTGTGTTTCGGTTTCATGGTTTGTTTTTTTTTTCCTTGTCTTTGAGCGAACGTCAAAGGGGAATGACTCTTCTTGGTTATTGTCGTGATTCGTAATTTTGTCTTTATTAAAAGGCTAAGAGAGTGTGTGAGTCAGCAGGGCTGCCCGGCCTTTGGAAAAGTCAGTCTGAAGATGCACTTTTAAAACTCTGGATTCTGAAGCTACTGCCATGGTTCAGTTTTCATCTGTCTTAAACCGCCCACGAGCACTTGAACCTGCCCCGAGGTGAGCACCCTCCACCCCGCTGCCTCCAGCAGAAGTGGAGCACTTCATGAAAGAGGGCTCAGCCAGAGCAGATGTTTATCAGCCGGGTGTCAAACTGGAGAGAACCTGATTTTTCTTTGAAAGGGCTTTTTGTAAAGAGAAGAGTGCGTAAGGCAGCGATCTGATAGAATAGGTCAAACCAGCTGCTGAATCAATGTAGGAGTCACAACAGTAAATTATTTCTCGCTCTCCTTTTGTTGTGATGACACTGAAGTACAGAAGGAACAGGTTTGTTCCAATCACATAATTTCCTTGTGCATTTAATTAATATGCAATTCTTCCAGGGCCCAGCTGGTTTGGAACAGCTGGAGTTACAATCCAAAGCTGGAACAGCAGAGCCAGACCAAGGTTTATGCTGAAATCCATGCTAGCCCCATTGGATGTGGGTCTGGCACGGTCACAAATACTCTGTTTTCCTTCAGATCTGTAAAGTATCACCTTAGGGATCCTTTTCATTACTTTGTGTGAAAGATTTATTATGCGTAATAAAAAAAAAATTGAAAACGGTAAATACAGGCTGTAGTTGCATTTGTTTCACGTGATAGCTGCCGCGTGGTGACGTTTGGCCGGCGGGTCTTGGTGTGGCCATCAGACCTGGTGTGCACGAGGTTTTATAACATTCTCCGTGATGTGCAATAAAAAGGATATTGTTTTGTTTATGGTATTAAGTAGGCGGTTGTTTAAATCTGTGCTTGGTGAGAGAAGGGACGTGTCGTGCTACAATGTCGTGCTGAATCCCACCTAACGGAGGGCTCTTGCCAACTCAACTTCTGCAGTCGCGGCAGGAACAGCCCGGCGGAGGCACTGGGCACACGCGGTTGTGCGGGGAGCAGAGGAGGCACAGGTCTGTCCCCTTCAGCCCAGGCCAGATGTGATGTGTTGCTGCACCCTGAGTTGCTCTTTCCTCTTGTTCTGGCCACAGCATTTAGGCAGATGGTGTCTCCCTGGGTTTTGGGGGTTGGATTGGGTGTTGGACCCGGATCTTGGCCTTACTGTGCCAATATTGTTGCTCTGAGTGCTGATCACTACTGGCACCATCTGCCTAGGCTACTTGAGTAGCATTAGAGAGGGAAATCCATTGCGTCAGGGTTAGGGAGGAGAAGGGAGGTCTGCTCTGTCCTCACTCAGAGGACCACCCCTTCCACGAGTCTCCTCTGAGCTTGAAGCCTTCCAGAGAATGGGCAGGAAACCAAGTTGCTGTGTAAGTTGTTAGTGAAGTGGCGGTTGTGCATATGAAGCCTGATGCACGTGTCCCTGACGAGGGAGTTGTCCTCCTTCTTCAGTTAATCGAGAGAAACTGATCTCCCTATGAAAACGGGGTGGTGGGTTGGAAGCTACAACAACTCCTTTTCCCTGCTGCCCTACAAATGAGTCGGGCATCATCGACTTTGGCAAAAACCTTCCCAATTTCATGGCATTTCTTGACCCTACTAGCCTAAAACTGAGGAGTATTAGGCAAGTTACAGGAAAAAAACCCAAACTGTTTTCTACATGCCTGCTAGATTGTTGATCTACCAGTTAAACAGGAAAGGAAGAAGCAAACAACCCCTCTCATTTCTTTGGAAACTGAAGTTTTTTGTACAACCTTTTCTACTGGGCGGCTCGGTTTTATTCTTGCGTACGTTGTCTAATTCAGCCAACTTAAGGCCAAAAGTCATCCTATCGTTGGTCAAGCCCAGGGTCTCTCCTGATTGATGGGGCTTGGTCTGTGAAAAACTCTCACTTCTGTGGTTGGAAGACCAGAAGTTTCCTCTATGCTTGCACTTCTGTGATTGCCTGACCACCGTAAGTCCTTTCCCGTCTTCACCCATTAGCAGGGCTTTGGCCACCTTACCTAGCCAGCTTTAAAAATTCGAACCGTTAGTACCCGCAATACTGTAAAATTCAGGGTCCCAGCTGCTTTTGCGTTTGGTTTGTTGCTGATTTGTTTTGGGGTGGGGTTATTAGTATAATAATTATTATCTATTATTATAACAGACTCTACTAACTCACAATTAGCAGTGTTAAAGGTAACAGCAGCACATCTGATAGCAACATGCAACAGCCTCAACGGAGTTACCGGACTCAGAGGAAGGAATTGTTTACTCAGTACGTTCCTATCTGTGGCTGTGGTCTCTTCCCCAAGCCCAGATCGGGGTGCTAAGATTCCAGATCAGGGCTCTAATCTTGCTACAACTGTTCAGTTTGGGGAGCTTTTGCTTGTACTGAAAATTGCCTCAAGGTTTTTATCTTTGAGGTTTCTCCAGCCAATATTACCAGGTTAAATTCTGTATCAAGCACATACCTGCACCCAGAAGGCTCCAGGAGAGCTCTTTCCCCTTTAATTACACAACAGATAATCCATAAAATTGTCTCCAGCAGCATGACTCGGCCCTAATAATTTTTAATGTTTCTGGCAGTCAAATGTCATTTGTCATTTAAAGGGAAAATATCTATCCGCTTCCTTGGCAAGCTGCAGCCAGCTGGTTAGACAGGAGCGATGTTCTCGGCTCCACCAGGGATGGCCTCTAGATCCATCTGCTGGATCCATCCAGACTGCTCCATCTTGACCACCAACTGCTGGTTGGGGGCAGCCAGTTGGGTTTACTGCCAAAGGGCTCTCAGCAGCAAATTTGTGCAGGACGTCCTGAGCATCTGGGTGATGAAGCATCAGCTCCTGGACATCTTCTAGCAGAAGCCTTGGTGGCCATGAGCTCTCAGGACGGTGCAGATGTCCCCTGAGATTAAATTCTGCGCGGAAGGATCTCTCAGATATCACAAGGTTGGTTGTCTGGGTTATTCTGGATGGGGTTGGCAGTTATTTTGGGTTTGTCTGGAAGGCTGACTGTCAGCTCTAAGAATTACTCATTCATGGTGCCTTTGTGCAGTTCACTCATGACGTTCAGATTCAGCAGCGACGCTCTGGGCGCAGCAGCACAGGGCTGGTACAGGGGCTCGGGGCAAGGCTCGTGAAAGCAGGGTGTTTGCCTTTTTTTCCCTTTCGGGAAAGGAGCCTCTTGGCAGGACGTCCGCAGGCTGCTGTGGCATCACCGA